TTTTGCTGCTCCGTTTACATGTTCACCCAACATGGATGGCATCACTCAGTAACAGCCAGTCGTTCTGTCTCGTGTTCAGGAAACGGGTGCAAGCAGGGACGTGAATGCAAAAGGACATAATAATGTTGGCGTGATTTTTTACTTTTATATATATATATAAATTTTTTTTTTTTTTTAAGGCAAGCTCAAAATAGCATCGCTTCAACCCGAGCTGGCTTGAACCCAGTTTTATACGTTTGTGCATTCAGGAGTGACGCAGCAGAATCCTGAAAGCACCATGACGAAACGTAATTACGCCCAGTTTTGATCACCGAGAGGCAACAGGGCCAGCTCTACATTTTATCACAGATATAATTATTGGAGATGACTCACAGGATGGAGAAAAAGTAGAAAAGCACAACAACCTATTCACTCAATGGGTCGACTCAGAGAAAAGACAGAAGCACTTCCATCAGAGCCAGAGATAAGAGAACTAGACAATCATTTCTGCTCCTGCTTAACGGTTCTATTGTTGCTTTTTTACAAATGGTTGCATGATTGATTCACTTTCACTATACAGAATTGGCCACCACTAATGAGATTTTGTCCAGTTTCTATTATATGGCATGGCATTTGGGTTGATTTGAATCATTCTGTGATGATGTTGAGGAATTCGCTTCATGTTTTGGGAAGTAATGTGAGCACATTTCATGCTGAGAGCTAGAAACAAAACGGCAACACCATCAAGCTGACATAAATGCGTGAAACGGATCACTTGCAGTTTCATTAGTAGCTCATACTGACAGTAATTTGCAGCTTAAATTGTGTTTGTCTAAATGACAGAGTCCAACATATTGTAGTTTGCAAAAGACTTTTTCTGTAAAGCAAGAAGTGTTCTGCAGGATGTAGAAAATGGGAATGTTGCAGGAGTTGCTTTTTATATAAATTAAGCAATAATTAGTGAGGTCTGGGGGCAGGCTGTGGAGCTCTGGAATATGTTTTGTTTCTTTTATATGATTGGTCAGACAAATGGACTGAACATCCAGTACGTTTTCAACAAATGCAGGCATCAAAGCAATGGGTTACAAATGCAACCCTTATTTATTTATTTATTTTTTTGTTATGTAATGTTGTTTATTTGTCATGTGCCGGTTAACACAAGGTCAACAATGCAATGAAATGTTCAGGATGAGAAGAACCGATTCAACTCGCTAAAACAAACAAACACACAAATAAATACTAAAGCATGCAATAAGGGTACAAAATAAGGTACCAAAACGTGAAAATTAAATATAGTATTTACACGGTCCAAAAGAAAAATAGTAAACACTATGGTAGAATATAATGGAGCAAGTAGGATGAATTTGTATGACTAAGTATTTTACAGATAGTAATACAAGTTAAAATGCACATGATATATATTGAACAGGTTCCGCAGGGGAACCTTGGATGTTCTACATCTGCCGGACCCGGTTCTGGAGGGCAGACTGAGAGGCAGCTGCTGCAGTCATTATTATCATCAAGCTGCTGACTGGACCTGCTAACAAGATCTGCTAACGATGCTAACAAGACCACGCCGCTAACAGTACCATGGTGCCAACAGGACCATGCTGCTAAGATAACCTCACTGTCATCAGAACCACTCTGCCAATAGTCATCAGAACCACTCTGCCAATAGTCATCAGAACCACTCTGCCAACAGGACCATGCTGCTGTAGATGTATTTCTTTTTCACTTTTGGAGCCTTGTTTCTGTATTTTTGTTGCATGCTTTGAATAAATCCTAGTTTATGTTCGTTTTGGGGTCGGCTCCAAGCCCGACTACGCTCGCATTAGTGTGTGAACTATAGCCGAACCGAACTTATGAGAATCGTGCTGCTGTTGTTTTGTGTATTATTTTGCACCATTAGTGTTTAGTGTATATCTTAGATCTTTTAATGTACCGTTGAGCATTCATTTAGCGTATATTTTAGTTTATGTCTTAGATCCTTATTTACCGTTTCTTTTTACACTTTATATTTTTGCTATTGTTGGATGTAACTGGGACCCTGTGCACACAATTTCATTACATCTCATGTACCACATGTGATGCGAATGACAATAAAGAACTTTGAATCCTTGAATAATTAGGAATGCACAATATTATCGTATCGGCCAATATTAGTGATAAAGTTAAACATCGACCATTCCATCAAAATAACTCACCGATATAAAAGGCTTCTGTTTTAAGTTAATTTTTATTTTTAGAAACTGCATTAATGCACTACTATTTATGCACTTTTCACTTGTCGCTTGTAAACAGGATGAGCTTAGATTTGAGAAAATTTACAAATTTGCCCCGTTTGAGTGTCGTCATTGTGTTAGAGTGAATGTCATGAATAAATTTGACATTAAACATAATCCAAGTTGAAGTGTTGCATCATTTTCAGCCCCATTTTTGACATCTGTATTTGGCAGCAGGTCAAACTGACAAAGACTATGCAGATTAATAATGTATTTTAATTCCACAGCAGAGAAAGTTATGTAGTCTCTGTAAGAAGGTTTAGGGGAAAAAAATATCTGTATTGGTAATCGGTCAAACAAGTTTGAACATATTGGCATATCAGATATCGGCCAAAAATCCAATATCGTGCATCCCTACACATAACGTATACTACATATTGCTGACATTTTGTTCAGTAAAATGCTTATTTTGGAGTTAAACTAGTTATAGTGTGCTGGTGTGTACAATAAGTCTGCAAGACGTCATTTTAACATTCTAATAGTTTCCTTATAGTGTCATCAATCTGGGTTCATGGAGGTTGTGTAATCAAGACTCGTGGTTGAAACATTTTACATAAACATAAAAAAAATAGCTTCAATAAAATTAAAGGCAGGCCAAATTAATTAATTAAGCTACAGCTTTTACTTTAGAGCTGCTCAGTATTAGGAACACGTGCACAATATTATTGTGATGACATCATCCACAACACAAGTTCAGTCGTCATGACGGCGACAACACTTCATGTGTCTGAAGCCCAGCAGAACATAAGGTTTGAATGCAGTCTGTGACTGCAAATTATTAAAATTATTTTGCACTGCTGAACACAAGAATGTGAGATATTGATGCATTTATGATCCACTGTGCAGTCGTTGCATGATTTAATGGAGTGACTGACGAAGAAACACCAAGAGTGGAGTCTTGAGGTAGCTCCAGAGCACAAACTACATTTAAAACCTACTTTAACATTACGCTTTCTATATTTGTTACAAGAAATTAAAACAAGAGAAAACATATTAAAAAGTAGTTTTAAAGATTGTTGGGTTTGTTTGTGTTGTCGTTAAGCTCAGTTTTTTTTTAATGTCTTACCAATCTCTTCGACCTGATATTTCAGTTTCTGATCTAAACAAACCCCAATAAGTTCAGAAAGTACAGATGTGATGTATCCTCCAGTGAGTGAGGACTAAAGTTACCAGATTAGAGCACAACCATTACAAAGCCTCATCATGTTTGACTTGGTGATCGGGCCAGATATTCAGAAAGACAACTGGACTTTAATAAAAACAAAGAAATACGCTCACGCAAATTGGAAAGCAGCAGGTCACAAAAATAACCCCGTTGTAAAGCAAATTCTGCTGTTTCGTCCATTTTATTGTAAAATGAGACCGTAATTTTCTAAGTGAGCCTCATTTTGTCTTCACGAGGACTCAAAACGAGCCGTTAAAAAAGAAAAACTCAAAATAAAATTCCTTGCAGTGATGCACGTCACCATGCATTTTGCACCAGAGTGGTAAACTAAGATCATTTTGTGTTGAGGATGTTCTGTACAAACTTTCTAAACGTTGCTGTGCTTGACCTTAACACAGTGAGATCTTGTGCAACCAGTGGTGCAGTCTACAGTTTATACTGTGCTTAGAAACCAAAGTACACCGGTTAGTACAATGTAATTGTCAATTTACTTTGATTTCCCTGAAGCACCTCCGTAGGAAGCAGAAGACAATGGATAGATGGATAGATGTTACACACACACATATCATATTTCTTATTATAAAGTTATTTTATTTTTAGTTCAAAGTAAACCGGACAAAATATGAACGTTCTTTAGGCTTTAAGTGGCTCATGTAAATATGAAAGTTTTAAATTAAGTTTTTTTTTCTTTTTACAATTTGAGCTGATTGCAAAAAATAAATTTAATGTAAAGTAATGTGACCAAGAAACGTAGTTTAATCAGGGTTTTGCTGTTTATTGCTCGCAAAACTTCGAACTGGTGGCTTTAAACATTACTGATACTTTTGAAACTATCAATATCCGGTCTAAACTTTTATTCTGAACACCTCCTTGCCCTTGTTCCGGCGATGCTCTGCGTCACTCCCGCTAGCTTCACATAGCTGGAGCGGCTCGCGGTGGCGCACGCGCCTGGCCGAACACAAACAGACCGTCTCTCCCCCCCAAGAAAGAAGAGGATATGTCGCGTATCACTGGGCACTTTTAGTGGGTATACAGAAATTCCCACGCTTTTCTAGTGGGCATACAGCGTATACTAACGTATCACGTAGACTGCACCACTGTGTGCAACCTACTAGCACTTGTGTTGATGACGACTGGCTACACCATATTTTATCTCAGTGTCTGTAGAGACGACTGCGTTAAAGTCATTTTTTGTGTTTCCTAGGGTCGTTTGGCTGTGGCAGCCATCTTGAACCGAGTTGATTAAGTTATTAAGTTGTAGATGTTCATCCAAAAATAATTGCGCGAGGTATTTCAGTGCGTTTTAAGCCCTTTTAGCTTAGCTTTGACTATTTTGCAACACGGAGAAAAGTCAATAGAAAAACAAAATGTGGCTTCACTTTTCAGACCTGGAGGCCTCATTTAAACTGTTAACATTATATATATGAACACTTCCATTCATATACAGATCGGGATCATTAATGATGACATTTTCCATCATGTCTGATGGTCTCCCTGCATTTAGACAATAGCATCAGGGATTCTGCCACCCCGCCCTCCTCCTTTCACACGAACCGGACTTGTATGAAACTCACCAAGCTCTCTGGAGACCGGAGATACAATCGCATTCTCTCCTATCTTTGACACGGCGTCGAAATAGGCTTTTCCAGCTAAAGTCATTGCTGCAACAAAATAAACGAGAGACAAAGGTCAACAAAGAAGACAGCTTCCAGGAAGACTTGGTGAAGTCATTTGCAAAGGGCACAGAAGGCCTGAATTGACAGCTGAAGTTGACCGTGTTTACCCGAGACAGATTTCTCGTAGCTCTTGCCCAGGTTGACCAGGTTCCTCAGATTTGGGTTGAACTGCTCCATCACATTCTGGAACGAAGGGAAGAAAGTGTTGAAAACGTATCCTATTCATTTTTGTTTAAAAAAAAAAAAAAAATTCAGAAAAGGGAGGTGAATGAAAAAAATGCTATTTCAGTGTGAGGAGGAGGAGGAGAGAAATCCAAGTGCTGCGCTAAAAATATTGTCACGTGAGAAGAACAATAAAAAAACTCAATCTTTAACTTGACCTATGCTGCCTCTAAAGAGCAAAGTCCCCACGCTGAATTATTTGTGGCTTGAACCTCGGCGCTCCTGAAAAAGTCCCAACGATCAAGTTTTCCTCCCCTGACACACCCTCAACAAACAAAACAATGAAGCGATTACAGTTTATATGGACGGGGAAAGAAAATCAGAGGCAAACAGGTTCCTTTGATTTCCTTTTTCTCCTCCTCTTTGCTCAGACTGACAGACAAACCTATGACTCTTCATAGAGACATCACAATTAGGACCTCATATTTTAAATTGTGAGTTAGATGAGCAGAAAGATTAAAAAAAGAAGAGATCAAACTTATCTCCTGTGAGAAACAGCTGTGAAAACATGATTAGATTAGATTAGATGTGGGGCTGAACAAAAATCACACAACCATAAACAAATGACTGATTTAATCTGTTCTGAGTGTGTTGATAAGAAGGCAGGTTGACTTAAACAGTGAAGCTGGAGTCACACAACACCAAGCTGGGGGTCTATAATCTCCAGGACCTCAAATTTACAAAATGCAGATTAGAAATGAATGAGTTCTTCATAACAGAGAAAATAGTTGGCAACAAATTATTATGCTTTTATTTGAAAGGCTCAGAAGTTTAACCAGTTTTGGGAACCGCTGCAGGTTTATGTGAAATTCTATCAGATTAAACGCAACATAATCCAATAGCAAGCTGTTATTTTTTAACTATATTTCTTGGAAAGGAGAATTTCTCCTATAATAAATCTTGTTGGATACATTTTCAAAATAAAAGCCAAAGTACTTCAGTTTAGTACATTTTAACTTTTTAATCTCTCTTCAATATATCGTTCCCCCTCTCAAGCCTAATTCAAACCCGTCATAATTCACTCAGCAGGTTTTTTTAAAATAATTTTGGATTAATTATCTCTCACCTTGAAGGTACTTTCAGTGAGCTTGCTCACACCGTCGGGAGTCCGAGCCATGGCGGCAGGTGGTTTTTCAGGACCAAAAGCTAAAGGGACGGGTCAAACTAAAGTCCGCCAGGTGTTTAGTCCAGGTTTGAAGTCCTCGGGTGGTTTAGTTGCTCCCTGACTGCTCCTCCTTGACTCAAAGCAGAGAGACGCTCAGCAGCAGCCGGGGGCGGACTGACTGACGGGGACACTGAGCGAGACACCTAGCCGAGAGTTTAGGGTAGCGCGAGCGTGAGCACGCGAGCGGAGCGAGGGAGGATGGAAGCTGTGACGTCACGGGAGGTGTAACTGATTAAAGTTCTCCTCAGCAGGTGGAGCGGCGCTTCTTCCGCTACACTTATTGAAAAACTAACTAATGACGTATTCTAGACAAACTGTGGTGTAATGTGATCAGAAGCAAACAGAGGGCGCTGTTGAACCGTAATTTACACTGTAAGTACACGCGCACACACTCATTCAACCTTTATTTAGACAGGTTAATCCCGTTGAGTCTCGACTCGAGGACTCATTTACAAGAGAGACCTGAGTTCAACAAAGAATGATGACAACAATGGACAATCATAAAAGAGGCATGCAGATTATTTATTTTAAACAAATTAAAATAAGATGGCAAAAATAGCACAAAACAGCTAGATTCTAAGGCGAATGTAGAAAACTAAAAACAGTAGCATGTCTGCATTGGTCCCTGCCAGGAGTCCAGCAGATTCTTAAAGCCACTTAGAGCGGTCAAGGTCGAGAGCTTCAAATGTTTTTGTAAGATATTCCAGGAAACAGGAGCGGAGTAGGAGAAGGCCCTTTTGCTTAGTTCAGTTCTCACTGAGGGAACACTGCGGGTAATAATGTCCTGAGAGCGCACGCTGTAGCTGCACTCACGCAGAGACATGTAGGAGGAGATGTATGAAGGCAACAGACCAAGAAGTGATTTAAAGATAAAAATGTACCAGAGAGAGTCTGTGTGAAGTTAATGATGTCCAGTTAACCAGTGAATACAGGGTGCAGTGGTGGGTACGATAATCACAGCCAGTTATGAATCTTAGTGCACCATGATAGACAGCATCCAACATCTGCAGGGTTCTTGTAGCGGTGTTCATGTAAATAATGTCACTGTAATCAATGGAGGGAAGGAAAGTCACAGTTACAAGACGTTTCCTAACGTTCAGAGTTAGACAGGATCTGTTTCTGAAAAAGAAACCCAGTTTAACTTTCAGTTTCTTTACTAGGTTTTCCACGTGGAGCTTAAAAGAGAGATGCAAGTCAACCAAGATACCCAAATATTTATAGGAATCAACAAACTCATTAGGGACACCCCCCAACCCTCCCCCCCACACACACACACACACACGCACACACACACATATATATATATATATATATATATATATATATATAT